GCATAGAGCCTTTACTACATGAAAATGAAAATTAATGAATACACTGTGTACAGTAATTTACCTGATAAGACAGACCTCAGAAAAATACTTTATGAGAGCTTTTATACTTTTATAAAGCTGTCTATAATGAAAATTAATTAACTAAGGATTTTTTTGCCCTGCCAGGGTGTGGCCGAGTTATCCGGAGTGCCGGGTTATCGAGAGCCGAGTTTTCAAGGTTCTACTGTACTAAAACTGTCTTACCTTGTAAAAGTTGAACACTAAATCAAGTTCACAGACGTTGTGGAAATATTCATTTAATACTTCTACAAAATTATGAATGGCTTCTAAATATGCAAGATTGTTATCGCTCACATCTACACATATGCAGAAATACAATCCAGCATATCGACGGTAAACTATTTTGAAATTTCGAAACTAAAATTCAAAAATTAAAAATCATATGATTTGAATAGATGATATAATATATGATAAATAATTACCTCGACAAAATTTGTATGTTTGGCATCTCTGACTGTTACAACAGCATGAACTTCCTCAATCAGCTTCTGCTTTTCATCATCATCAAAATTCATGTACCATTTTGCAAGTCTAGTTTTACCAGCTCTATTTTGAATAAGTATGAATCGAATCTAAAAAAAAAAATTAAAATTTAGAATAAAAGTTTATTAAATTTGATAATTACAATTCTAAAATATATAGTATATTTAAATTTGCATAATAAATTATATGTGAGAGAAGAAAATCTCCAACAGCAGCAACAATATTTTTATTAAATATATAATAATTGTTCAGTTTTTTTGTATATTGTAAAATATTTCATATAATTTTGAATTAAGAAAATCATTATATGTAATTTTAAATATTGTACATAATAAAATGCAGCTTACATTCTTAAGAGTGTAAAAAAAAAAAAAATGTTTAAAATAACCAGATTAGATTTTATTTCATTGTGTTTCATTGTAAAAAAGTTATAATTTATTATTCTAAAATATCACTTATGGTAGCTGCTATTTTGATGTGAATGTGTCTCTTTAATCCGATCAATTCAGTTTGGTAGACTATCAATACAGCTTTCAGGTTAGATACTTCTTTTATTGTTTTGACATATGCATTTCGGACTTATATGTATTTTAAGTTCCTTTTCAGTTCAAAACTAAGGTTCTGTCTTCTAAAACCACGGTGTATTACGGGTAACGTTGGAAAGAGTTTAAAATACAGGCATTTAAAAACACTTCAAATACATTTTCACATTAATACGGTAAACCTGTTTTCTCCATCCATTTGTATCCAATATTCTTCTAAAATATTCTTCTAAAACCGAACTGAATTGATCAGATTAAAGAGACACATTCACAACTGAATTGATCGGATTAAAGAGACACATTTACAACACAATATAATTTATTAGTTTATTAAAAGTTATAATTTTATTAAAATAATTTGGATGTTACAAATATCTAAATAAACCATCACTACCTTTTACACTGAACAACTTAAAATTGTTTCACATAGTCAGGATGATAAATATGTTAGAGTGAAAAATTTAATAGAGAGAAAACATTTTTCAAAACTTTATATCTCAGTTTTAGACTTCATACATATATATTTGGCCACCAAGTAACAATTACGTTTTGATTTGGTTACTTTAGATAGGTAGGTGGTCATTTAACAGAGATTCAAAAGGTGATAAAGAATTAAGATCAACTTTGGATTCAGTATTTCCTGCTCTTACAATTGGATTTATTAAATAAACCTCCAAAACCTTAATACTAGAAAATATTCAATTTATGTAAATTATCTAGACGACTAGTAATCTTATAAATTTTCATATTAACTTAACTATATCCAAAATGTATAATTAATTTTACTTGAACTGTTCTGTAATTAAAGCTGCAACTGTGCTTCTGTGCTCTTACAGATCTTTACTAAGCAGGCTTGGTGCACCCGCGCAACGTGAAAAGATCTTAGAACTCACACACCTCACGTTATACCTTGGTCTTCCAATTTAATAACAGCACATATTTACAAAAACAGACTGTACCCATGGGCAGTCCCTTTTCGGGTGATCTGCGCGAGTCGGTTGTGCATCAGTTGAAGGGAAAAGTTATGGAAATTAATTTTCGGACAGACTGAGTGTTCAAATTTCTCCATTTTTTCTCCCTTATTCATAAACAGCTGTTATAATATTAACATAATGAATGCACTCAGCAGAATAACAGTAAATATGGAGTATTGTAGTGATTTAGATGATACCAAAAACAAATTACACTCAAGACAAGTCTTATTTAGTGTTTTATTGACAGATAAATGCTCCACCATTACCAATTTTTCCTGAATTTACATCTAATTGATGAGAATTTCAAAGAAAAACACTTCTACTCGAGATAATTTCATTATAATAACTTGTAAAAGACCTCCAGATAAGTATATTTGTGTATAAACAAGTAAATAAGTCAGAAAATATTTAAATATTGTAAATTTATCCGTACCAAGCGATGCTTGGCTACGTTAATATAAAGTTACGATAAGTTCGTCTACCGACAAGCTTATAGCTTAATTTACTTGCGCATTGTACTTTATTCGTGTTCTTAAAAGATTATTACGATGTTACGTACGAATCGCACTTACCATTTTACGTTCTTTACTTCAAAACGAGCCTTTCAACTCATTAAACTCACATAACACACCCACAAAATTGAAAAGGAAGCGATACCGCTTATCTGAGCATGCGTATACAAAATCGTCTGGTGATGTTTCGTCGTTTCGGTTGTAAGATGTTAATTTCTTTCCTTTTTATTTTAATTTTTATAAAAATTGTGTAAAATTTATAATAAATTAATATTAATAATGTTATAATATGTATTATTAAAATATTAAATAATTTTTTTTAAATGAATTCGGTATAATTTAATTTCTTCACACAGTACCAATTGTTTTGAACAATCGTGTTTTAGATAAAGACAATGTCACTAAAAGACTAAGGTACTTAAAGATGGCTTTGTTGTCTAAATAGTGAAGCCCACCAGTGGCCATGCTGTTCAATTCCCTGAACATTGGGAGTTCGGTCGTGGGTTTGCGCCTGGCCATCTGGAGTTTTTCGGGTTTTCTCCGCCAGTTACCATTAAAAAATCTCTCGGAAAGCATTATTTCCCCGCTCTCACGTAAAGCCGGGCAGTTTAAAAAGCTTCGGCCAGATTATCGGATGATAATGCCATCGCTCTTTCGGAATAATATAGCCGGAAAGGCTGCATACTCCATATAAACCAATGACGTAGAGCTCTATCTAAATAGCTAGCAAAGCCATCGCATCTGTCGTTTCTCATCCGCCAGATAGCTGACGCAATGATGGATAGCTTTTTCTTTTTAATTCTTTCGTCCCTGTGGGAACTAAGAGGCCTTTTAATTTTTTAAAAAGTTTGTCATGAAAATTCGGGCAGATGATGAAGGACGACGCCCGACATATCCAAAACAGATGACCTCAGGAAAATTCTCGGGGTTTTTCACCAATCTGGATTTGATCTCGGATCCACAACTTAACCGCTTGACAATCCAGCCATGTTAGTAGACTTGACAAGATACACCTTTCATTACTCTATAGACATTAATTAACAGATTTGGTTTAATGGGATACGACATTACTTTGGCAGATCGCCGCAATATATGAGTAATCTGCCAAAGTAATGTCGCCCGGCTGCGAATTTTTTTATCTAATCAAAATAAGCAAAAGCATAGTCAGCTCACTTTTCTCTAGAAAGCGAAATAAAATTTCTCATAAGAAACGACATTAATAAATATNAGATTTACCCAATTAACTGCTTGATCCTCTTATTTTCTTAACAGTAATTAAGACAATTTAGAATTCGAGCAATTTATTTGCTAAATTCTATTAATTATCAATTAGAGATTTTATTATATTATCAAATATGATTTTAAAATGATCATTTACAAGAAAAGAAAAAAAAAATTTCGAACAATTTCACTACATAATAGCGCTTTTGCGAAGACAAACAACAGCTAACTTTCAAAGTTTTCGAATGAAATCTTTACAAAAGCCCAAACTACTTATTATCTTTTGATTTTAAAATAAAATTGTACAAGAAAAGAAAAAAAAAATTTCGAACAATTTCACTACATAACAGCGCTTTTGCAAAGACAAACAACAGCTAACTTTCAAAGTTTCGGAATGAAATCTTTACAAAAGCCCAAACTACTTATTATCTTTTGATTTTAAAATAAAATTGAATTGAATTTATTGATTCTAGAATTAACGTCACGTTCATTTTCTCTGGCGAATGAAAATCTTCAACATGATTGCTGAAGATTTCCAATTCTGTAATCCATCTGGAAGACTTCAATAAAGTTACGAAACACTTTCGATAATTTATAAATGCGATTTAGGCTGGTAATTATCGATTTGACTCCATAATTAAATATTATATTAGTGAAATACGAGCCTACATAATCCAAATACTTGTATGGCCACCGCGTAAGTGTTTTGCAATATTTTGGCCATCGAGTTCTGTTAGGGCACATCAGGAAAAATTATTCTGTTGATCTTTCTTTTTGTAACGGATATCCAATTACCCTAGCAAAGAGCTTCTTTTGTCATTTCTTCAGACAACACCCACGTGGATCCTTCTTGAATTTCACTGCTAGTAGTGTTTAATGTTCCTTCATATATCCGAGAAACACGTCTTTCGGATTATTGTTTTTCTTGCGAAACTTTAGAAACCGATTGATTATTGTTATTCCCGAGGACCCCGACGCACTGTTCCAGAAAAAAAAAAATGTCCCAAGAAAAAGAAATCGAACGAAAGAAGTGATTTACTCGAAGATTCCGTAAGAAAAAGAAAACCCCATTCATTTTTTAGTGTGTTTTCAGCAGACCATTTTGCTATTTCTATCGTATTAAATGTCCAAAAAAAAAAGAACGTTTCGGCACAACCGTTTTAAAAGTTAGTACTTTTGAAAATTACACTAAAATTAAATTTTGCTTCTAATTCTGAAATGTGTATAGATTTTGCTTCATATAGGAAACTATTATGATATTAATTTTATTCAAAAATATTACTTATTATGGAAATAAATACAAATTAGGATTTTCCAAAGGAAAAACTTGCCGAAAAAATAAATCTGCACAGTTTAAAAGATGAAGAAATGTTTAAAATATACTTAATATTAATTCGTTTATATATTAATTTCTAATTGTATAATTTCTTCTAGGATATTTAGTGATCTATAACTATTTATAAGTTCTGTATGAATATAATTTTATGCAAATTTATGAATTAAGTAAATTAAAAAAAAATTACAAGTAATTAAGATTATTTGCCGATTTCTATACATAAATACTTATTTATTTTTATGGTATTAAAATTTTTTAAATAAAATTAAAATACTGTACTTGAATACTAAGATTTTGAAGAATTCAACATGGCGATTATATTTTTCATTAGGCATACTGTATAAAATTTGATGATTCGTTCTTCATAGTTTTTCACTTTTATTTTGCCAACTATAAAAATGCCACATCCGAGTTCTTAGCCTTTTAAGATTTTAAGGTTTGCACTGGAAATTCAAGTAGAGCACTAATCTCTGCTCTCATTATTCAAAGATGCCATAATTCTGGAATAATTCCTAGGAGACAAAACTACCGAACATTGGTAGTTGGTCGCGGGTTCGTGCCTCACCAACAGACTAGTCGTGAAATTTTCCGGAGTTTCTTCGCATGTCTAACACCTAATTAGACGCCAGTTTACCATAGAAAATACTCCTGAGAGACACGCAATCCTCTTTGACAGATTACTCATGATTGCATTTACTTATCCCATCAATCCAATCTCATCTAATATTCAAAGCTTTCCCCTGAAAATTCGGGATAAATGTATCAAAATTAGTAAAAATTTGATGTTAATTCGTTTAATGAATTATTGGGCTGCAATTTGAAAAAATTGTAGACCTATAAATTCCCACTGTCGTCCGTCCGTACGTCCATTTGTCTTTTTTTAATTAATCTCGAGAACGGAGTATCATGGAAACAAAGTATATATTTTGTCCTCACACTCAGTAAAGCAATTTTTAAATTAAATAATGCGTTTGGTTATTTTGGTCATGAAGATTTCAGCATTAGCTACTTCAGCAGAACGTTCGTTCAGCGCTCTATGACGTTTAAAAATGTATCCTAGATCTACAATTATTGATGCAAAATTTAATTACTTTTGCCCACATTCAAAATTTTGTTCCGGCGCTTCTGATTCTCTTCTCATGATCTGGATGTAGCCTTTAATAGAAAAATATACAGGCCTATAAAAAGTTTTCTATTATTGAATACAATTTCCAGAGTCCCAACCGAATACCCAAGATATATAAAACAATCTGTAACTGTCTTCATGTTCATAATTCAAAATATTACTGTAATCATCTTCTGTTCTGTGTTGTCACATTCACACATTACTGTAGAAAATAATAACTACCAGTGGCGTGCCGTCATTGGAAGCGGTGGATGCGCCGCTTCCCTTGTATTTTCTAAAAAATAAATACATATTAATTTTAATTATATGAAAATAATCGCACAATATTTTATTATAACCGCATTAGGTATCTTATTACAAATTTCTATACTACACGTGAAAAAAAAATTGCTATTGTATGTTCGAATATTAGTGGCGGAGTGGAAGCGCTGTATTGTCAGCATCCAAAAAGCCAGATTCGCGCATGCGATTTACAGAGCACCAAGCTCACCCGGTTTAGCTTTGCGGCCGGATGGCCGAGCGGTCAAAGTGGCAACCCACCTCTCTGGGGGACCCTGGTTCGAACCCGAACGGGTCGAAAAATCCCCAGGAAACCTTCGGGGGTGGTCCGTTCTGATATGTCGGGTCCCGTCATATCAGCAGCTCCATTGTGGGCCTGGCCGAACCAATAATGGGCTTGCAAAAAGAGGCCCTCTTAGTGCCCACAGGGCGGAGAGTTAAAAAAAAAACCCCGGTTTAGTTGGTGGAAGCCTAGGACCTTGGGTGGATGCTACACGTATACCGCATCCAATTCTATCCGGGACCGGTTCTGGGCTGTTAGCCACCTACCCGCTAGATATTTGGCCGCCCTCGCCCGATTAGGCGAATCGCGAGTAGATTTATAACTTAACCCAACCGATAAGAATTTACTGATATGTTTTTACGATAGTTCTGTATAATTGACAGGAGTTTAAAAAAATCCATTAAAATATTTGATATATTTATTCTCTCCGATTTTATATTACTCACGGATTCAATGTTAAACCAGTGATATTACGATTTCGTATATCCCATCTTTAAGGGGATGTAGAAAAAAATGTGTACAATTCTTGTATAATGTTAAAAAATTAACTGTTACTTTGATAGCATCATTTACGACTAAATTTAATGAATGAGAGAGATGCACCAGGTACAGAAAAAGCTCTAGAAATTATTTTCCTTACATTTACGATTGATATATCCGTTTGTCATAAAAATTTGTTTTTCCCGAGACTACAAATGTTCGAGTACAAAGTAACTGATTTCGACTTATTTCTACTTAAGAAGTAGTTAAATAATTAAGCGATTAGGGAATTGGGGACATAAATAAAACCCTGGCGAAAGAGCCGAAATATTACTTAAAAGCTTAACCGACCCAATCTCTTATCGAGTACAGTGGGGACTGATTTCTTCGAGATATTAGATGTAATAAAGACAAATTTTTTCAGTTCAACGAGCGTGACCGAAAAGTTGTAAATTTTGGAAATTTCCGTGGACAACACCTGGTCCTAAAACGAATTAGTTAGAAAACAAACGGCGGACAATCTATTAAGTTTAACATATTTAGATTTTTATAGCTGTGGTGAGAAACGTTTAAAATGTACAACAACCCTGTCACGTCCTTTGAGGTATACTAGTGATGCGACAAAAGAGGCATTTGACATTGACCGGTATCGGCACCCTGGGGATTTGGCAGCCCGCGTGCATGCACTTACCAGGACCGTCTCTGATTCCATCCATTAGTCACTCGTAGGGAGCTATTTGAATAAGTGGATTGTTTTAAGCTTTAAAAAGTAAAGAATATTTTGTTATTTTTATGTACGTTTCTTTACAAAGCTATATTTAATTATAATTTTNGTGGACTTTTATAAAACTCCCCGCCCGTAGATACTAAAAGGGCATGTTTTATCGTTGTTGTTTGTTAAATTACGGCAACGCAACACTTGGGCGATCAGGTGTTTTAAGGGTAATTGGCTTCTACTTAGGCGTTACAGACGTGGAGAAAACCCGGAAAACTCCACGTAACCATCCCGTCCCGGCCAGGCGCAAATCCACGACCGAACTCCCAGTATTCGGGGAACGTAACCGCTTGGCCACTGGTGGGCCGGCCATGTTTTAGTAAGCCCATTATGGATTCCGGCAGGACCACAACGGGGCGGAAGAATGGTGAAGCATGGGGCCCGACATATCCGGACTGACCACCACCTGAAAAATTCCTGAGGCTTTATCGACCCGTCCGGATCCCAGTTCCTCAGAGCAGCAGGATAAATTCAATAAAACCCAAGCCCTTCTGGTTAAGAAAGGAATAATGACATACAAGTTTGGAATGATCAAGACCACTGTATTTTTCGTCAACTGCATACAGAGATGGCTGGTCGGTAAACGCAATACTAAATTCTTGCAAAAAATTTTTATCGACTCCATACGAAATGATTAGGAATTTTTGGAATATCTCCGGAACGGATCATAAGATTCTAAAACAAAAGGTTTATTGCACATCTGAAGACCCATCCCTATCTATCGACACTTAATTCGTTCAAACTCGCCAAGAAATCTACGAGGAGTTCGACTAACAGAAAATCTCTGTAGCGGAATATATATATGGGAAGGTGGTGCAAGATGGGGTCATGGGGTAAGACGGGGACGTCTTTTCATTTTTGGTTAATGAGCTATTATCTAGCTGTTATTTGAGGAACTAAATGTCTACTTCGAAATGGATCATGGAGCGAGAGAACGTTCAAATAGCTCTCTTTATTTGGAAGTAAGAACGTTTTTCATGTTTCAGCAATACAGTACTTCATCTAATTTTACACCTGCTAAAAAGTTTCTACAAAGTAAGTATCATTGCGAACTTTTACATTACCTTTCAGATGAAGATATTATGGTATTCGAAGTAACCTCTAAGACTGTAATTGTTTAGTTTTGAAATGAAGTTTACCCGTGTTTGCAGTCAGTATGAAAAGTGTACGTTGAGGGCAAGATGGGGTACCCGTCTAAGTCTAACCCCAGGTTGACCATGAATATGGCCGATGAATCCAGAAGTATTTTCGGAGGCAGGCTTTATTGCTGAAGAGACGACAAACGGGCCCCTTCAGCAAGGGTAGGCCTAACAAGAAACAAAAGACAAATGACACAGAATGCCTCTATTGTGGAGGGTTATACTCTGTATCTACAGACAGTTGGGCTAAATGTAGTCGTTGTGATAAATGAGCACATTGTTCTTGTGCCAATATTGAAGAAAACGACAGTGTAACCATTTTAATTTGTGCTTCCTGTATATAAAAATAATGTTCCCACCTTATCCCAAGGGTGGGGCAAGATGGTGCATTTTACTTTTCACTTAATATTACTTAAATTTTACTTAAACAAAAGCTTAACCGAGTACGGTGGGGACTGAAATTATTTTTCTAGTTCAATTAGAGTGATTTTGGAAATTTCCGTAAACCCTGGTCCTAAAACGAATTAGTTAGAAAACAAACGACGGACAATCTATTAAGTTTAACATACAGTATTTAGATTTTTATAGCTATGGCGAGAAACGTTTAAAACTTATCAACATTTCGGTTATACCAGATATTTCTTACAGATATTTGAAAAATATACTTGTGATCAAAGAAGTAAAATTGCTTGTTTATTTAAGAATAGAAAGTTTTAGCCAGTGGCGTAGCGTGGGTGTCAGCCGCCCGGGGCGGAGGAAAATTCCGCCCCCCCTTATTTAGGTATCTCAATTTAAAAGACTAAAATTCAGTTTCGTCACAGAATATGTAATGAAAAATTAGTGCTAGTGTTGCCACCTTTTTAAAATCGCCAACCCGGACGGTGAAGTTTGTTCGAACAGAAGTTCCTGACGCATGCGTATGTCATTTTGCAATGCGAAGAATAATTTGCAGTGCATGCCGGTTCTAAATCAGTTACAGTTAGCGACTAGGGAGACTTGGATAGGAGTAACGCAAGTGACCTAGCTCTATTGGATATTTGGATATTGGAGGTGTAAATGATTACAAATGAATCGTATAAGCAAAGAAAAAAAAAAGGGTCGACAGGTCGCGCACGACATCCCCGGACGGCGAGTCGGATGGTAACACTATTCCGTGCTCATTTCAATTTCTATATCAATTTCATAATGATATATAGCAAAGCGACGGCGGATATTGAAGGCCTTCAACATCCGCCGTCGCTTTGCTATACCTCATTGTGAAGTAAACGTAAATATAAAATTATTAATTTTTTTTAAATTTTGTAATTCATATATTACTTAAAACTGAAAATAAATTTTAAAATTTGTAGTGCTTTTTAGTGTAAAATTTTGTTTATTTTTACATTTTATATTTTCATTTTGTTAAAAAAAAAAAATTATTAATTACAAAAATTGGCAACAGTTGTGTTATTATTTTCAAAATGGCGGCTACCATAGAAGATAGAAGAACACGTGTTAGACTGACAGAATATGAACAACAAAATGTAAATTATTAATTAATTCACAGACTACATTTATTTGTTATTTAATTTAATTTAGTACTAAAATAGGTTAAAATAACATGTTTAAAAAGTACAAAGAAGTATTTAAACCAGTTCATTTATGTTATTTTTTTTAATGGTTTTGTTTAGGTGGAATCGAGTGACTTTCCTGGAAATTATCCTGGATACATCGACGAATGGAATGCTAAAAAGTTTGAAAAGGTACTTCAGTGTGTCCTTGATGTCCTTCTGTATGAGATTATATTTTGAGTCTTACAATTAGAGATTATTTCAACAAAAAATTCAGTGGATGTTTATCTGATATCATGATATGGCCTCTTCAAACTCCAGACTTAACAAATGTTACAGTTTAGGATATTTTGAAAGAAAAGATACCTAAACTCATTAAAACAGTTGAAGAAGAACACTAGAAGTTACTTTTAGGTACAACAACTACTTAGTTACATATGACTAATGAACAGTCATATGTAACACACCCAGCCTATTTAATTAACTTATCCCAAAATGCATTTCGGCCTTACTGGCCCTATCAGTTGGGTGACATACAAAATAGAGTCTATGGTGACAATTTGCCAACTAGTGTTGCCACCTTTTCAAAATCACTGACCTGGATTGCAGGTCAGGTTTGTTCAAACAGAAGTTCCTGACGCATGCGCAATGTCATTTTACAATGTGAAGAATAACGTGCATAAATCAGTTACAGTTAGGGACTAGGGACTTGTGTAGGAGTAACGTAAGTAACCTAAATTAAGAAAGAACAGGTACAGATAAGTTAGCTCTATTTGAGACGTGTACGATTGTACATGCAAAATAAAAAAAAAAAGGTCGATAGTCTGTGCATGCCACAGGTCGGCGTAAACAGACTAACATGGCAGAATTGCAGATGATTTTCAGTGAGTGTGAGTTCTTTCACTGTTAAAATAGTGTAAATTTGTAAAAATATTTGCAAGAACTTTGTTTAATCGCAGTTTCACAATTTCTACGAAATTCCTGGACAAAGTTAATAGTTTACCCGGACAGTGAGTCAATTCCCGGACTGTCCGGGTGAAAACCGGACAGGTGGTAACACTATTGCCAACATTAAATATTTATTAATAGTACAATTATTACAAGTTATTACATACACATTATTAACAGAATTCTAAAATTATCACTAGTACAGTAACACAACAATAGTAAACAAATCCAGTAAAAGGGACTATTCACAAGGTTTTTATAAGAGTCCTTTTTTTCATGCCCTTAAGAATTCATGAAAAAAAGACTCTCTTAGTGCCTGTATGACAGAAAGACTTAGAGAAAAAAATTGTCAAAAATTTATTTTTATTTAATCATCATTAAAATAAATTATATTTGAGTAATAAGAACAGATTTATTCTTTATTAAAAGTAGCATGTAATATATTAATTTTAATGTTATATAATATAAATTAAAATTGTAATGTTTTCAATTAAAGAATAATTTTAGTGTTTTTGTATAGAATCTACAGATTAATCTTATCAGATTGGATGATATGGAAATGGAGTTTGATATCATAGGAATTGATGCTGCTATAGCCAATGCTTTTAGAAGAATACTTTTGGCTGAGGTAAATTTACTTTTAAAAAAATATTTTTATTGTAATGTTAACTGTACAGTAAAAGTCCTTTAGTCCAGTATGCTTGAGGTTCAAAATTAGCAGTTTCAATCAGTGGTATGTATATCACAGGATATACAAGGAGGCTTGGTTATTGCTGCAGATCTATAGACAGAAAGCTCAGGTGCAAATGTGGAAAGGTTGAGAATGGCTGCTTTATATAAAGTTTGGCAAAGGTGGAACAATTTCATTTTGTGCCTTAGTTCAAAATTCTAATGTGATCACCTTTCCTTTCCAACCTCACTGCAAAGAATGGGAGTTGCATCTCCAAAACAAAACCCTTTAGTCCTTGACTGTAAAAAGAGTCTTGCTCTATGATCAAAACAATTGTTTTGATTATAGAGCACTTTGCAGTTCCACTACTGAAATTTTATAACATTTTTAGGTACCAACAATGGCTGTAGAGAAAGTGTTTGTTTATAATAATACAAGCATCATTCAAGATGAAGTGCTGGCACACAGATTAGGACTTATTCCAATCAAAGCAGATCCAAGATTATTTGAGTATAGACAAGAAGGTATATACAATGATATAAACATTCGTGTGTTTCAAGCTTTTTAAAAAATGCCAAATTTCTATCATTACAGGAGATGATGAAGGTACTGCTGAAGATACCATTGAATTTCATTTAAAAGTGAAGTGTACCAAGAATAAAAATGCTTCAAAAGATGCAGCTATTCCAGAGGACTTATATTTGAATCATTTAGGTACTTTTACAGTATTGTATTGATTTAATATAAATTGTAATGACTAAATATGTTATTATTATTATTTGAGTGCATAATTTCCTAATGTAATATAGAGAGGGATTTAATCCTTAATACAGTGAAATGCCAAATCTGGACTAATTGGAGCTGGACAGATTTTCAAGTATACATGTAAATTAGCATTTTAAGTACTGTAAATTTAAAATGTACAGTACTCTAAATCAAGTTTACAAAGATTCAAAATATAATTTACAGAATCACTGTATTTCAGGTTGTCCAAACTTTGTCACAACAGAAGTCATACATTACCTATTAGAAATATGAGAGTTGCATTCTTTATTTAAACTGTATTTTATACAATGGATATATATTCCTGTATATTTAATTATAATAATTTATGTGGCCACAGTAAAGGTCTACGAGAGTCACATGCAGCTTGTGAGCTGCAGTTTGATTGATTTCGTACAACGCAACTTCTGGTTTTGCTCTAAACACAGTTTTGGAAATCCTTCATACAAAATTTCACAATTTTTAAGTGTAAACTTTTATTTGATATATATTTTTTTATTGTACTTTGAATTATGATTGTTAATTAATTATTGATTGGAAATAAATTATCGATTGCTTTAATAAACATATATCTTCTAGTAATGAAAAGAATAGTATACATTTGCTAACTTCTGGAATGTAGTCCCAAGTTTTGCATTAGTCCTTTGCACTTTTTTAGAACATAACTACTGTGTTATACCGGGGATACCTGTACAGTGGGTGATCAGTTAACAAACATAATCCGTTCCAAGATTTTGTTCGTTAACTGATTATCGATTTACCATAGGTTTTTATGGGAACTTGATTAATTCGTTCTGGAAACTCCAAAAAATAAAAAATATATACTTTTTTACTATATTTATATGTAATAATAAAAATACATATATACAGTCATACCCCGGACTTACGCGATAGGTGGGACCGAGCGATAACCGCGTAAGTCAAATTCGCGTAAGTCGTGGTATAATTTCGCATATAAATACATACAAATTATTTTTAATTGGGACCGGAGATAAAAGAAAACAATAATTTAGAAAAAAATGTTTAATAAAATCTTAGATAATACATACGTATAACAAATTATATTATTATACAATTTTTCACATTAACTTGATTATCACACCATAATTTTAACATTGTTTCCACCTCAGTGATAATACCGTGACATTCACGAATGATGCTTGAATTTAAAGATTGAGCATTTTTTACAGCTTCGAGAATTTTTTCTTTATCTTTTATAATTGTTCTGACCGTCGATTCCGGTAGATCAAACTTCTTTACCAATTCACAAATTTTCATTTTTGTATCGAAGTCTTTAATAATGTTAACTTTACATTCCAAAGATAAAGTTTTTCTTTTCTTCTTTGATTCAGAAGAATCAGTTCTACTTCGTTTGGATGACATAGTAGAGTGTTAAGACTAATCATATTCATTATTGTAAATTGCGCTTAAGTTAGGCGCCATCTATTCATTTCTTTTGTATGTCCGACGATCAAAAGACCGCTTGGGATCGAGTCTGTTTATAATTTGAAAGGTAATCTTGTCAGTTGTATATACAAAAGGTAAATTGTTTACAAAATGAGTCTTTGTTTATTATCTGATAAATGTATACTTTTTTCGTCAATTGTTCACGATTGCAGATGCCTTTGTGTAAAATCCAAGTAGGATGTATGTTAGCTAATAAATGTTCTCGTTAATCTTATCTCGCCATTTGGTTCATTCACGGTTACAAGAAATTACCACATAGAGTCTCTCAAGTCTCCGTAGATATAACAAACAGAAATAAATTTCACAAAATAAATTGTCGCTATGCGTCGATTCCGCGCGACACGTCCGAACATGTAAGCTGGACAATAGTGTGGGGGGAGTGAATAATCAAGAGTTGCGTGGCGCTCAAACAAAAGATGAATCAACGAGATTTTAAAATCACATAACTCCGGGTTCGCGTAAGTCGGGGTATGACTGTACACAGTCTTTCATTTTTATTAGTCATGATTTTTCCATTTGTGGGGGTTAAAGAATCTGTCTAATGTTGATTGTTTTTCTCTCTTCTTCAGGATTTTTTAGAAGCGATTAATAGCATTGTAATTGTAGAGATCCCTAAACCTATTAACCTCAACCTAGTTTGGATGCCATTCTAAGACCATCATTCTGACATTCTCTCACTTCTTCAAAAGATCTTTATTAGCAGATATCAGCGTTAATCCTTTTTCATAAGAAAACATATTTTGCTGAGTTTCTTGGTGTTTTCAAGAGTTCTTGGCATTCTGTCGTCAAATCAGTTTCAGGTTCCATTATGAACTCTTCAATGTTCCTTGTTTCTCAGATGTGATTTTTGTTACTCCTTAAGTTGCTTGGGTCTTCTTGATTATACAGTATCTTTCTTTGATAAGATTGAACTGCGGTCTTCTGTAGACCTATAGCCATACTGCCCAGCAACATCAAACATCTGCCCACTCTACCTTTGCTATTATACTCTCACCTTTCGAAAATAAAAACGGACACAAAAACTTAAGTGCCCGCCCAACAGTCTCACGATTACTATAAAAGAATTGTTTCTGTCAGAAAAATAAAAGGGAGAGTTTCAAAGTTTGGGAGGAATACTATCTGATCAATTTAAACTGGGTTGAGCGTTGATGGCGACGTCTCCCGTGCTCCAAAAAGTTTTGAATTGTTGCCTGAAGATAAGGGAAAACCAATCAGTATTCATTATTTTACGTCACTTCTTCTTGTGTTTGTTCTGTGACGTGTTTGTTATCTGAACATAAAAATATTTCACGAAAGTGTTTGTTAACCTGATCACCCACTGTACCTGTATTTTAAACAAATTTTTATTTTTATCCTGGAATATAATATTTTTTGTCAATAGTGTCAGTTCATGTTATATTTGCATTATCATAGAACATATGATTTGTATTTGAATTCAAAATTTCTGATATCATTTTGTGTTTAGACAACTTATGTGAAGTTTTTTCTAATTTGCTATCCTATAGGCACAGTGTCATTTTTCCATATCCATTGGGGAGAGTTGATGGAATTAATATATTGGGACAGAGACATCTGTGAAAAATTCCTGGAGAATTGGTTGCCCAGATTTGATCCCATGTCTTCCAGGCTGACAGCCTATCTTCTTTGACCATTTGGGTGTTTAAATTATGTGAAGTTATGTGGTGAGAGTTGATTGTATATAAATACAGTTTTCTATTTTTGCAGTCTTCTGGAAAACTGATGATAGTTTTTAGGAACCATTACGTCGTTAATTCATAGGAAATGGACCATATAATTGTTCTGTGTAGAAGCTTGTCATCTAGATACAATGTATGATAACCATCATAAAATGAATTGCTCTATTTCCTGTAAGTTCAGTGTTGTAAACTGAGATTACATTCCTGGAAAAACAATTCTAACCATATAGTAAATTAGCTCCAAGTGAAAGAAATGGCATTTCATAAATCACAAGAGAAAGTTTATCCTAGTTGTAGATATTGTAAAAACTTTGTATGATATACATGTTTATTTCAAACATAGTTTATGACTTTGAAGTGATGAAATAAGATTAAATGATCAATTGCTTTATTTTTCAGAATACAGAGTCTTTTAAAAAAAAGAATGCTACCATTTTAAATTATTTTAATTACATTAATTATTATCCAAGACTGTTGTAATGTACGATTCTCTCTGTAGTGAGCTGGAACATATGAATAATAACTCACACCTACCAAACTATTTCCAGCAAAAACAGTTTAATAAAACTTAACAAAATTATTATTTTTTGGCCATATTAAGTGGTCTGCTTCAGGTTTAAACATTCAGAAATCGAATGTCTAAATAGAATGCAAATTTGGAACATTGCCAATGTTCTTATTTCATACGAAGAATTTAACATTGCAAGTAAATAACTGTAAAAAAAAGTTTATTTACTTGCAATGTTAAATTCTTTACACAAAATAATGATGTCATAAGAATATTTGACAATTTGTATTTTATTTAGACATTCAATTTCTGAAGCAAACCACTTAAATAGCCAAATCTTAAGTTTTATTAAACTGTTTTTACTGGAAATAGTGTGTAAGGTATGACTTATTAATTGTTATAATGTACAGTACATTATAACAATTGCAAAACTGACAAAATTTCACATATGCCCATTACAATTTCTCAACGTGCACTTTGTTTCATATGGCACACGTCTACCTAATACTCAAATTCTTTCTACACTCACAAAAACAAATCCATTGTTACTCATGTTGCATGATAATGAATGATTTCAGCTTTGCGAACTGCATAACAGAAAACACCTTTTCTGTTGCCGAGTTGCCATTTTCTTTTATGATGTAGACAATAAGACATTTGAATGTAGATGGGAGATGAAACTCAGACAGTTATTCTATCAATTGGTGTATGTCATATACTTCTTTCATAATAATTAATATCATTACAGTAATTTAAAATGGTAGCACTCATTTTGAAAGATGCTGTATTTAGATAAAACATTTTTTCTGAAATTTGATTATTGATATTTTTTATATTTTTAGTATATTCTGGTCAAATGAAATGGATTCCAATTGGAAGTCAAGCTGAATTGGTAAGTTTATTATTGTGTCTATTTTATATTTTTAATAAAATAAAATGAAAATATTTCAAAAATAAACATTTTAAATTTGTGTTTGATAATATAGAATTTTTATATATTTATGCTTCTAACACAATAAAGTGCTATAAATTAAGACACTTGGCGGGTTGTCTCATCTTTATTTAGTTGAATTTATTTATGCTTCTAACACAATAAAGTGCTATAAATTAAGACACTTGGCGGGTTGTCTCATCTTTATTTAGNCCGCCAAGTGTCTTAATTTATAGCACTTTATTGTGTTAGAAGCATAAACGAATTGCAAAGCACGGTTTCATATCATCAAAATAAGAAGTTATAATATTGAAACGGCGGAAATCATCAAAAATTTAAAGAAGTCAACTAAATAAAGATGAGACAACCCGCCAAGTGTCTTAATTTATAGCACTTTATTGTGTTAGAAGCATAAACGAATTGCAAAGCACGGTTTCATATCATCAAAATAAGAAGTTATAATATTGAAACGGCGGAAATCATCAAAAATTTAAAGAAGTCAACTAAATAAAGATGAGACAACCCGCCAAGTGTCTTAATTTATAGCACTTTATTGTGTTAGAAGCATAAACGAATTGCAAAGCACGGTTTCATATCATCAAAATAAGAAGTTATAATATTGAAACGGCGGAAATCATCAAAAATTTAAAGAAGTCAACTAAATAAAGATGAGACAACCCGCCAAGTGTCTTAATTTATAGCACTTTATTGTGTTAGAAGCATAAACGAATTGCAAAGCACGGTTTCATATCATCAAAATAGAATTTTTAATTATAATCTAAGAATTAAATGAATTTATATATACTGATATATTGTTAAATAGTTAACAGATAAATTTAATAAGTTTTATTAAAAAATATATGGAATTATTGTAAACTTTTATCTCTTACATTTAACATAAAATTATCATATAATTTTTTTCAATGTAAAAAGATATTTAGAAATTTATAACTTTTTCAATGTAATTAACTGATTGTAGACAATATAAATAAAATTAGTAAATATTAATCAATTATAAATTATTTATTTATGGAAACTGAAATGATGGAGTATTGTATGTATTCACATTTTGGGATGAGATTGGGTGGGACTTTTATATACAAAAATGACCTTTGGCATTTACCTTTTATCAACACTAAAATCCACTTAGTCTGTTCTCAAATGAATATCTAGAAATGATCATAGAATAAAAATAGTAGAGGTATAGTTCTGATTTCTATATATTCTTTCCTATAAATTCACAATGTTAACATGAAGTATTTTTATCTTTTTATTTTGTCTATGTTGTTCATCATCATACGTAAAATTTTGTTTTCTTTCCATTTTAGTCATACAAATGAATGTAAAGGTTACTTAATAATTAAAATTGTGTATTGATTAACAATTTGGAAGTGATTACTTAAGATAGGAACCATCCATAAGTTATGTAATGCTATTTTTATACTTTTCAATTACCATCCCACTCCCTGTAATGCTCCATAACAACCCATCCCAAAAATTATGTAATGCATATTTTTGTTCAACCCCTTAATTGTATTAAGAATATAAGTTATTAATTGCATATACAGATTTACCATTACCAATCTATCATCTTTGGGACTTGTAGGGCCATAAAAGTGATTTTGTTAATAAAGTTGATATAATTATTATAGTTGAAAAGTATAAAAATAGTGTTACATAACTTATGGATGATGCATATCTTATATACTTGTTATATAGGGGTATTTATTAGAAAAGCACATTGTATCTTTCATAATTTACTTTCAAGTCTATAATCAATAGTTTGTCATAATTGTTGCATATTCTTTAAGTCGAAATTTATCATAGCAGGTATTAAGATACAAAATGGTATCATATAATATTTGGTTATTTCAAATAGAACCCACTAGATGTTTTAAAATGTATTTTTTCAATCATATTTGGGTTCATTGCAAATTATTTCTGCTTCAAATTTGTAATCATATTCACCCAAGATGGCATACAATTACATGCTGGCCAAATAGCTATGATAAAAGTATCTGCTCAAGAGACCTGTGTTTAAATCCTGATGGGATTTTCAAGAATTCTCATAGAATGTGTGATCCACATATATCAAGTCTCATTCCATAACTTCTTATGTGCTCCTACTGCAAATTGATCAGAGGTGAGGTTATAATATGGCCCAGCATGAGTAAAAGTAGAGAGATCTGTCATACAACTTATAGTTGGCTGATGCAGTACTCAGCAAACAATTGATCATATAATTGCATATTAATGATGATTAAAAGATTTTATTAAGTTTATTATTTATTACATGAGTTCTTAATATAATTAGTACAGAGATTAATTTATATGTAATTTTAGTATGGTGAAGATGCCATAAAACCAGTTCATGATGACATTCTAATTGCAAAATTAAGACCTGGTCAGGTAAATTTGCATTATCATTAGCATTTTTTATTAAATTCTTAAAGGGTTAAGATTATTTAAAACTTTTTTGTAGGAAATTGATGTTAAAATGCATTGTGTAAAGGGAATTGGCAAAGATCATGCTAAGTTCTCACCTGTTGGTAAGTAACTTAAATTTTTTTTTTTTTTACATTTTTCTACATTGATTTATATTATTGGGCATTAATTTTCTGTATTTTTATCAGTTATTTTTATCATTTTCTTCTTTATAATGTTTGCTTAAATACAACATAAGAAAAAAAAAACAAAATACTCTGTGACATTTGGCATAAATATTTCCACTCTGACAAATGCTTTGAAAATAAGCAAATTTGGTCAGGTATTTCTGAAATTTGCTATTTCGTGGTCCATAAACTTGAGGGTCAACAGCAATTAGTAATTTATCATAAACCGTTCTTTGCACATATACCTTTATTTCAGATCTAATATTTTATTAACTTACACAAATGTTTTCAACTTTGTTAAAAGGTCATCTTCAGATATAGAATGCATCAAAGATTTAATGTTAAATGGAATTCAAACTACACATTGGATTTAAACTTATTAAACATTATGGAAGTTCTGATTGGAGTTTACAAAAATGTTATTTTATTCAATTTTATATTGCTTATATTATATTTAAGTGGATGAAACAAAGGTCAACATGGAATCTACTTATTGTAAAGGGCATACATATGTGTGCTGGGTTATTTCACTTCATACAATGACTTCCATGCATTGGATACAATGCCGGTCCTTGAAGTTTATTGATTTTTATATTTCAAATGCTTCAGTGTGTTTTAATGTCAGATTTTATTGGGCAGGAATTATGATCTTAACTCTGCCTCAATTGATTTTTGTCAATGCTGTAGTTGGATTTCCTTTTTAAACTGTGGTTTTGTTTCTTGATCTAAATGTTGCATTTGCATATTCTGATTCCTTGTTAAATCTTTTATCCTTTACCATCATAGTGTACACTCTCAGTGTTTAATTCATTTTACTTTCTTGTAATTTGATATTCTTAATTAGGTGTCAGTAATAAATATTTTTACATCCTTTGAATTAGCTAAACGTTTTATTAGCGTATGTCTAAACTTTCATAATTAATTGTATGCATCTAAATTGACAAGTTTTAATATTCAATATGCAGGTTAATTTTTATTAATGTATAATAATTATTAATTAAATTAAATTGATATATATTTATTACATTGAAAAACATCGAATTAAATTTCTTCTGCATACATACTATAATTTTTTGTGTATTTAATATTTGATTTTTAATGCAAACAGCTACTGCAACCTACCGTCTTTTACCTGAAATCACTCTCTTGAGAGAAATTGAAGGAAAAGAAGCAATACAATTGAAAGAATGCTTTTCGGAAGGCGTTATTGAAATTGTGAAGATGCCTGATGGTAAGTTATTATTTATAAGAATGATTTTCATCTTCAGAGCTCATTCACAATTAATTAGGTTTTTCCTTTTTTTTTTATTGCTGTACTCTAATGTTCTTTATCTATGCCTGCCTTTATTTAATGTTTCTTCCTCATTTGGTCCCAGAACTTATCTCAAATCAATCCAATTTTTACATAAAATAATTGTAAATTACACGTGTTTGTACATTTTGTCTATTTTCTATTAAAAATATGCATTTTCTTCTTGAAAATTTGTTTTTGGAATTATGGTCTGTAAAATTATTTTTTACAATTTTGAATGTGAGAATGTTATGAATAAATTAACATTTTAAGCAATTGAACAAGTTGTGGCCGCCAGCGCCAGAGATCCTGAACACTGTCTGGCAACACTTGCCAAGATCACGAACTCTGTCTGGCAACACTTGCCAACAAGAGTGGCTGGCAACGTGAGAAAAGGCGCGAAAGTTCGTTGGATTTTGTCCGGGTGTTGCCCGAGGATGTCTGTGACAGTTCTAACCTTTTCTAATAAAGTTCTTTTTTGTTACTGTTCGTGTTTGCCTGCTTAATGTTAGATCTAAACATCAGTAGGATTGAATGACAAAGTGGTGACCCGAACGTGATCCGATTAATGAACTACCTGGACTTTCGACTGAATTGGATAGCGAACAACTCTGTGTCTATGATGGAACTTTTTTAACAGGATATGCAGGTATGATCAGTTTCTAAATCGTAAATTCGATAGGAAGACGGTGGGTAAATCTTACCGAAGACTAGGAG